ATGAAAGGAGACAGCAGCTAGGGTAAGATATGAAAACAACAATTTATAATTTATCAAGGGGTCATAAGGGTGAGGGATTGGGGGAGCTGATACCTAGAGCTCAAGTAGAAAGAAAATGTTTTGAAAATGATGAAGGCAACCTATGTATAAATGTACTTGATACAATTGATGTATGGATTGTTATAAGTGCTGTAAAAGACCCCCAATAAAATGATGTATTAAAATAAATTAAAAACAGCAATTCTATATAAACAAATGAAAGTTTAAGTAGCTAAAAGGTCGCAAATGAGACTCAATACAGACCTATTGTGAAATATCTTATATTTATCGACTTTTCAAAGTATACAAAACCACAAAAGTTGAGTTATTTAATATGCCTTGAGTGTCATTTCTTCTGCTCCTAAGTCAAATATTTAAGACTAAGGCCTCAGGAAGATACTGAGGAACTTTCTGTTCTTTTCAATCAGATGCTTCAATGTTTGTAAAAGTTTTCTCCTATTCAGTACTATGAAATATGCATTTGGATATGTGGTAAAATAGGATCTCTAGATGATTTAATTTACTTTAATTTCAGTTCCTCAATTCTTTTTGCTTATGTACACTATAGAAATATAAATTACTTTAACAAAGATAAAAACTTATTCATTAAAAGATAGTTTGGAAAGTATACAGAAAGAATTACCAAGATTGATTTGAGTTAAAAATCAGTTAATTACTCACCTACAACCAGGCCACATTCGGGACAAATCATATCACCAGCTCTGTAGTCCTCCACTAAAATTGCATCAGGATGGTTTGGACATGTGACTCGTGGAAGAGCATCCAAACTAAGGAAGAAAAAAAATTGGTAACCTCTCAACCATTATGTAACAAACTAATCATCAGATGGAGAAGTGGAGAAATGATAAACTCTTTTCTAATCCTGTACATTTATAACCTGAACATTTAAGCTTAATTGTCAAAGCAGTCAGTTAGGCCGTCTCATATTCTAGCTAGTAACTAGCTGGTAGATTTTATGGGAACTATTTTTATTAGAGTAACTTTTGATTTCCCAAAATGAAAAGCTCCTAAAAATGTACACAGGAAGCTTAATGTTTCTTTTCTTTTATCATGTAACCTACCAAGATTTTTAAGGAATCCTGAGTAGTGCATTACTGGCACTTACATAAAACCATTCCGGGTGATCCTTTTGTCACTATTTCTCTGGCTGCAGAATAAATTTCATTTCTTTGTTTTTCTCTTGCTAGTGCCCTTAGTAATATGCAGGCACACGCTGGGTTTTTTAAGACAGCTCCTAACGAAACTCACCCACCATCAATTGGATTCCGCCTCACAGCTACCCTCTACGATGGGGTAGAACTGCCTCTGTGGGTTTCAGAGACTGTAACTCTTTGTACCAGAGTAGAAACCTCTACTTGCCCTTCATATTATGTAAACTGCCTTCTCTCAAACTATAAAACTACAAAGTCTTCATCAGTTACCTTCACAACCTCATTTGTAGCCATGTGTTGCTTTAAAATCACTGAAAAGGCTCTACGTGGAGTTTTTTTATTACAGTAAAGTCTAGGTCCCCAAATTTGGCCTATCATTGGAATCACCTGGGGATCTGGTGAAATTACAGATCCCTGGGCTCCATCTGCAACCAAATGAATCAGAATCTCTAGAGCAGCCATTCTCAACCTGTGGGTCACAACCCCTTTACTGAGGGTCGAACAACCCCTTCACAGAGGTTGCCCGATTCATAACAGTAGCAAAATTACAGTTATGAAGTAGCAATGATTTTACGGTTGGGGGGGGAGGGCGGTCACCACAACATGAGGAATTGTATTAAAGGGTCGTGGCATTTGGAAGGTTGAGAACCACTGCTCAAGGGAGAACTGCATACACTTGTTCTGACTCACCAACAATTCCAAGTAAAGACTTGAATACTCGGATATAGGCACGAAGCAGTTAACTAACAAAAAAGTCTGTAGGTCGACCCCTATCCCAGAAGAATTCACTACAAAGGACAGCACTGAAAACACAGCTGGGGGAGTGGGACATGTCTGAAGACCGCACACAGGAGCAAACAAAGAGGGAAGGAGAGAGAGTGGAACATCCTGGCCTACCAAGCTTTGAGGACAACAATCCCGCTCGGAGCGGGGTTGCACAGAGAGGGTCAGCCTCACCATGAGACACAATGTCCCCTTACTGACCCACAGCACTACGGGGGCAGCACTGGAAACACAATTCAGGATTGTGCCCAGTCGCACCACAGCCCCACACCAGGGCAAACAAAACATGAAGGGAGTGCAACAGAGCAGCAAGGCGAGCAAAGCAACAAGGCCTCAAGGAACTCTGAAAACAAGACTTCGAACTTCGGGCAGGGCTTGGCACTAGATCAGACCTGATCAGAAAACATTCATAAGGGTCAGCAGACAGACCTGGAACTATTCATAGGCTATTTTGGGGTTTTATTTTGATGTCTATCTAAATAAGAGAGGCAGGATAAACAATCCTGAGGAGAAGCAACGAGCCCGAAGGGAGTGTGTGTGGGGGTGGGGGGAGACAAGGGAGGGGAGTGTGTGTGTGGGGGGCAGAGACAAGCGAGAGGAGGAAATGGGGGAAAGGGAGGGAGGAGCCAACAAACCTGGGAACAAGGGAACAACAAGCGATCTAAATCTGATGGCGAGGAGGGCAGAGAATGCCTGGTGGGGTTCGATCAAGTGCAATGTAGCCCAGAGGAAGTTCGGAGAGCAGAATGAAGGTTGGACACGGTAGTGGAACAGGAGGAAAGTAAAAGGAAATAGAAGAACTAGGAGGCAATACACAAACATAGGCATGTAAATATGTTAATATATACCGATAAGGATATAGGTCTATGTCCATATATTTATAGGTTAAGTAGTAAGGTAGCAAACAGACATTGGGCCTCTACTCAAGCCCTCCTTCAACACAAGAACACTTTGTTCTAATAACCTGGCATTCTGTGATGCTCACCTTCCCAACATGATCACTGAAGAAAAATGGGTGCTGTTCTCTAGACAAATCATAAATCCAACCCACTATGTGTTTTGTGCTCTGCCTCCAAATATTACTCATACCCTCTGATTCCTAAGTATCATTCACTAAAATAAAAAATTTAATAATTTCTTTGAAAAAAAAAAAAAAGAAAAATGGGTGCATAAGCAAATGGTGTCCAGCTATCAAAAGATATAGCATCTGGGGTCTTAAAGACTTGAAGATAAACAAGCGGCCATCTAGCAGAGAAGCAACAAAGCCCACATGGAAGAAGCACACCAGTCCACACGATCATAAGGTGTCAACAGGATCCAGTATCAGGCATTAGAAGACCCAAAACAACCAACCATTTCGATGCCAATGAGGGGGGTTGAAATGGTAACTCAAAGCCCATCTGTAGACAGTTGGACATCCCCTCACAGAAGGGTCACAAGGAAGGGATGAACCAGCCAGGGTGGGTATAGCACAGACAAAACACACAACGTTCCTCTAGTTCAGTGGTTCTTAACCTTCCTAATGCCACAACCTTCTAACACAGTTTGTCTTGTTGTGGTGACCCCAACCATAAAATTATTCTTGTTGCTACTTCATAACTGTAATTTTGTTGCTGTTATGAATTGGGCGATCCTGTAAAAAGGTTGTCGATCCCCCAAAGGAGTAGCGATACACAGGTTGAGTACCACTGCTCTAGTTCTTTAATGTTCTCCCCCACCAACTATCATGACCACAGATCTACCGTACAAATCTGGCTAAACCAGAGTATGTACACTGTTACAGAGATGAGCTCTCTACACTCAGACTGCAGGGACAGATAAACCCCTCAGGACCAATAATCAGAGTAGCGATAACATGAAGGTAGGGGGAAGATGTGGGGAGAAGGGAGACAAAGGAGGAACTGATCAAATGATTGATGTAAACCCCTACCCCCCAGGGGACAAACAACAGAATCATGGGTGAAGGAAGATAGCAGACAGTATAAAATATGAAAATAAAAATAATTTATAAATTATCAAGGGTTCATGTGTGTGGGAGGGTGGGTGAGGGAGGAGAAAAAAGAGGAGCTGATACTCAAGTAGAAAGAAATGTTTTGGACATGATGGCAACAAATGTACAAATATGCTTGATACAATTGATGTATGAATTGTTGTAAGAGCTGTAAGAGCCCCCAATAAAATGATTTATTAAATTAAAAATAAATAAACTAAAAAAAAAACTGTTAGGAATGAATGTCTTCCATAACCGGGGTCAGACTGCCTTTATTTAGAATGGTGCATTGAACTTAATAGGCATATCTATGTGAGTGGTGGTACAGAAATTCAGTGAGATTTGTTTTTGCGTATTCAAGATATGGTTTCAGAAACTACTTTTCAGTCAATTATTCTATCAATAATTTGCTCAGCTATTTTGAATAAAGCAATTAAGGAAAGGCACATTTGCCTTAAATAACCTGACAGAATTGGATTAAAAAGGAACAGAAATGAACACAGATTTAGTAGTTGTGTAAATGAATATGCTATGAACATCACAAATACATATATAAAAGGCAAAAATCAAACATTTAAAAATATGTAAACAAGTATTTGTGACTTTGGACTTTCTTGGGCTAACAAGTGCAAGCCAAAAGGTCAATTCTCAAGTATGTTTGAAAATGATGCTGCCCACAGTAAAATAATATGTTCCTCAAGAAGTATATATTCAAGTGAACTAAAACAAGCCTTGGTTCACCTCATTAAGAAATGAGGAATTACTCATTAGGTTCATCTCATTAGGAAAATTAGGGATTACTTATATCCACATTTATGCCATAAAATATCGGTAGGAAAAATGGTAGCAACCTAAAATAGCAAAGAAAAGGTTTGATGTTAGTACTTATACATATATATCTGTATATATAATGATATAGAAGCATTTCAAAAGATATATGAAGAAACTCAATATAGCACTGAAAAAAGAATGAGTTGCAGTTAAAAGCAGTTTATCAAAGGCATCTAAAAATGCTAACCAAAAAAAGTGGACATATATGAGATGATCTCATTTAATATACTATTTTAGAGCAGGTAAAAACAAAAGTGTGTTATAAGCCAGGATGTGGCTTGGGGGGCGGGGCAGGACATAGGATTGCAGATGCAAGGCAGACTCGCAGTGTGCTAGGAGAGCTTGATTTCTAGACCTGGGTGGTAGTTATATGTACAAGCACTCACTGTGAAATAACTGAGCTGTAAATCTATGTTTACATGAGGCCACTTCTTAGGAGCATAGTAGGTAGGAACACGGACCCATTTGTTACAGCATAGGTTTTCTAGGAAAATACCAAGAAGCTGCTAACAATTACTGCTTGAAGGATGACTGGGAACCAGGGAAAGAAGGTTGGTGTATTTTCTGTACTTCTTATTTTTCATAATATGTATTATCTATCAAAATGAAATTGAATCATGCTAGGTAATGTCTAACCCAGTGGTTCTCAACCTTCCTAATGCCGCAACCCTTTCATACAGTTCCTCATGTTGTGGTGAGCCCCCAACCATAACATTATTTCGTTGTTACTTTGTAACTGTAATTTTGCTATGGTTATGAATTGGACGACCCCTGTAAAAGGGTGTTCGACTCCCAAAGGAGTCCCAACCCATAGGTTGAGAACAACTGGAACCAATTTATTCAATAGAGGAACATGAAACTTCAACAAGTTTGTGAAAAATTCTATCTTTTAGTTCCATTTTTCCATGAGCTTTTTGAAGCCCCTTGTATACAAGGAACATGAAATTTCAACAAGTTTGTGAAAAAATTCTATCTTTTAGTTCCATTTTTCCATGAGCTTTTTGAAGCCCCTTGTATACAAGGAACCACACAGTTATGCAGTGGTGGAGAAAGAGAAATAGGGAAGGTATGAAGAAAATAGTTATTTCTACCATTAAAGTTATCAACATGCCAGATATTCCCCAACTTTATTTTGCAGCCACCATCCAGCCATGAAAAATGAGATAGATCCCCTATAACCACAGGTTCCCAAACTTATTTAGCCTTCCACCCCCTTTACAGAAAAAAAAAATTATTTTACTCAGGAATCTTGGCAATTAAACTGTTGTACAGTAGCCCATAATCTGGGATAAAGTACCTCACTTCTGCAGCCCCACTGGATAGTTCCGGGGCTCCTCTGGGGGCAGTATCAACCACTTTG